AAGCTTCTGTAGCTCTGGCCAGCTCAGGCCTTCACTCTAAGCTACTAAGTTTCAATTATACAAGATACATAAATTTCAACAAAAATGGCTGCCACCACCAAGTGAGCAGGAGGCTTGGCTCTGCTCCAGGCTACAAAGTTTCAATTATAAAAGATAAATAACCCCAGATACCAGAGCCTTCACTTAGGTCGCCAGAGGGTGTGGATGGCCTGCAAACCACCACAGGCCCCTCGCCCAGGTTGTCCATGCCCCAGGAGAACCCCCACCATGATCCGGGACACCCTTCAGAGCAAACCAGCTGACCCCCACCCATGCACCAGGCCTCTATCCTATCCAATAAAAGAGTAATATGCAGATTGACCATCACTCCAACACACAAGATGGCTGCTCTCATGTGGTCAAAGATCCTTCCCCCATGTGGACACAAGATGGCCACCACATGGTCAGCAGGGGAGGGCAGTTGGGAAGCACCAGGCCTGTAAGGGAGGGCAGTTGGGAGCGATCAACCTTGCAGGGGAGGGCAGTAAGGGGTGATCAGGCCAGCAGAGGAGGGAAGTTGGGGACAAACAGGCTGGCAGGGGAGCAGTTAGACATCAATCAGGCTGGCATGGGAGTGGTTAGGGGGTGATCAGGCTGGCAGGCAGAAGTGGTTAGGGGCAATCAGGAAGGCAGGCAGGCGAGCAGTTGGAAGCCAGCAGTCCTAGATTGTGAGAGGGATGTCTCAGATAGGAGAGGGTGCAGGCCAGAATTTCGTGCACCGGGCCTCTAGTAATCAATAATAAATTATTTCAATCTGCATGACTCAGTAAGGTTGTGAAACTTCTTTTAATTCATTAACAGTTTAAAATTATATATTACTTTTCAATTTTAATATTTCAGTGTCCTACTACACTCTTAATAAAAAATTCAACTTTATCATTTAGCATTATTCACTAATGATGGGTTATAATTTGACAAAGAAGTACAAAGCAATCCTAAAGTTTTTCTTTGTATTTCATCGTTTTTTCTCCTAACCTATATACTCCTGTTAAGTCTTCACCACATCTTTTCAAGCAGAATGAACTACTAATTCAGTAAAACTGAAGGTCATTATTTACAGCATTTAAAATTCAGGAAAAATAAGTATTAATAAATTTCATCAAACATAAGCAGGGTCAATCATCCATGTAGGCTAAATAGAAAATCCTGGTCAATTCCTGATTATAAAGGCCCTCCAAAGCTCCAAGAAACACTTAAATGTGATTAATTACCTATAAATAAGCCTATTCCTGAGAGTTAACACATTAGTGTATTATATTACTAGTCATTCTGATCTCTGTGTAAATTATTTGCAGAACTCTTTTTTGAAATTCAGGGAAAAACAAAATACTAAAGAAATGAATGGAAGGTGGGAAGTTTTGGATCATAGACTAGTGATTGATTGCTAGATGGGCAATTTTAAGGTAATCTCTAAGGATAGAAGAAAAAGAAATTATCACAATGTTTAAAGAAAAATAGAGAGAAAATAATAAAAAACTGAGCTTGCTTCATATGCTTAGACTTTACCTTGCTACTAAATACTAAAATTAAACATCTTTTTTGCATATTGCCTATGACCAAAGAAAATATCATTCCTTTGGCAAGGTAAGTTCAAGCATTATTATAATTATCTAGAAAGAAGCAATATGTATTTTACATTTAGAGTTCAACAAACTCAAGTCCACTTTTTTTTTTTTTTTAAATATATTTTATTGATTTTTTTACAGAGAGGAAGGGAGGGAGTTAGAGAGCCAGAAACGTCAACAAGCTGCCTCCTGCACATCCCCTACCCGGGGGTGTGCCCGCAGCCAACGTATATGCCCTTGACCGGAATCGAATCCGGAACCCTTCAGTCCACAGACCGACGCTCTATCACTGAGCCAAACCAGTTTCGGCCAAGTCCACTTTTATTGAAATGTTTAATAGCCTTAATAATTAATGCTAGACAACACTATTAAAATTTTAAATATTTCATATAAATATGCCAAAATTCTTTAACATTAAGATCAAATATGTCACAGAAAGGCAATTTTCTGAACATACAAAACATTAATTTTATATAGCAGGATCCAATTATAATCTTATACTTATAGTTAAGGTATAGTAAAAATTGCACTTACTTTGAAAGAAACTGTACTGTTGCCCAAACGCCACCATACATTAGCCCTTTAATGAGCCAGGAATCAATATTTAGGTCTGCTATAAACCCAACCAGCCAAATAACTAGGAAAGGAGTTCCTAGCATTACTTTCTGCCGAAATTCCTGTAAAGAAAAAACAAACAAAAAACAATTAGAAAGTTTTTAATGTTTTAAGTAACCTCAATATGAACCATTGTTACCTATATAAAAACATGCAACAAGAGAGTAAATTGATTCATTCAAATATGCTTACTATAAGAATTATTCAAGGCGCTGGTCTCTGTCTTCTGGAAACAGGCAGTACACAAATAATTTAAAAGTACTTGGTTAAAATTATGTAAAATGAGAATAGAAGTTATAGGAGTGAGTCTAGATAGTCAGATACAGTACAGAAGAGAGCAGTAACACCTGCTAGCACATGAACAGGCTAGAAATAGTTCATGACAAATACCACCCCATTTTACCAAGGCCATTGATAACTAGAGACAAAGACAATAAGAATGACTAATGATCAAAGATAAGGAAATTGAGGATGCTTAGCCTGGAGAAGGCATTTGGATGATATACTTAAACAGCATATCAAAGCCTTTAGATACATTATGAAATTAAACAATCTACAGAGTACTAGAATCTACAGCATGGAGGTTATGTGCCTCTGAAAACATTTAAAAGCCAAGTGCTTAATACTCTGGTCACCTCTAACTGCCCTCCCCTACAGGCTTGATTGCCCCCAACTGCCCTCCCTTGCATCTGCCCTCCCCTGCTGACCATCTTGTGGTAGCCATCTTGTGTTCACATGGGAGTAGAGTTTTCAACCACATGGGAGGCAGCTATCTTGATCTTGTGTGTTGGAGTGATAGTCAATCTGCATATTACTCTTTTATTAAATAGGAGGATAGAGGCCTGTTGCATGGGTGGGGGCCAGCTGGTTTGCCCTGAAGGGTGTCCTGGATCAGAGTGGGGGTTCCCTTGGGGTGTGGGGCAGCCTGAGCAAGGGGCCTGTGGTGGTTTGCAGGCCGGCCACGCCCCTCAGCTACCCAAGCAGAGGCCCTGGTATCTGGAATATATTTACTTTCTACAATTGGAAATTTGTAGCCTGGAGCTGGGGCCAAGCCTCCTGCTTGCACAGTAGGGACAGCCATTTCTATTGGGACTTATGTATCTTCTATAATTGAAACTTTGTAGCCCGGAGCTGGGGCCTGAACCAGCCAGGGTGCGTGGAAAGCTTTGCTTCCTCCGTTGCTGGGGAAACACCTCCCTTCTGTTCTATGTGGCTGAAGCCATCTTGGTTTGGGTTAATTTGCATACTCGCTCTGACTGGCTTGTGGGTGTGGCTTATGTGCATGGCTTGTGGAGCAGAGTAATGGTTACTTTGCATATTACTCTTTTATTATGTAGGATTCCCATTTAAGTCTATAATTTTATGGTTTTCTGTCTGTTCTCTGTGTTTTGTTCTATTTTCTTTTTCCTGACTTCTTTTGGGTTATTGGAAAGTTTTTAAAGTTCTATTTTCATGATCTACAGTGTTTGTGAGTATAGCTTTTCTAGTGGTTACTCTAAATATTACATTATATAAACATAACTTATCACAGTGTCTTCATTTTACCAGTTCAAGTGATGTTTACCTCCTTTTATATCCTTCCAACCTCATTTTATGTTCTAAATTATCTAAAATGTATTCTCTATATACATTTAGAGTCACATCAAACAGCATTATAATTTTTGCTTCAACTGTCAAGCAAAATTTAGAAGACTTAAGGAAAATCTACCATATTTACCCATAATTTTAAGATTCTTGATTTCATTTCTTTTGTTTAGAGAACTTTTCTTAGCCATTCTTTTAGAATAGTTGTGCTGATGAAAAATTCTTAGTTTTTATCTGAGAATGTGTTGATTTTCTTTCATTCCTAAGATATATTTTTCCACTGTATGGGGTTGATAGTTCTTTCCATTCAGCAGTTGGAAAACGTGTCAGTTCTATCTGAGGTCTATGGCTTCTGATGAGAAAGAAATCCAGTCATTTGAATTTTGATGCCACTATTGGTAAAGGGATTTTAAGATTTTTATTTTTTCCAGAAGCTTGACTATGATGTGTTTAGTGACGATTTCTTTGTGTTTATTCTGTTTAGGATTTGTTCTTCTTCTTAATTCTGTAGTTCTGTCTTTTGCCAAATTGGAGAAATTTTTGGCCATTTTATCTTTGAGAACTTTTTTAGCTTCACCCTCTTTCTTCTCTTCTTCTGGGACTCCAATCATATTAATGTTAGATATTCTGTTATAACCACAGATCCCTAAGCCTCTGTTGTTGTTGTTTTTTTCCAGTTTATTTTCTTTTGTTGTTCAAAATGGGTAATTTTTATTGTTCCATCTTCAAGATCACTGATTCTTTCTTCTATACTCTAAAATTTGCTATTGAACCCATCCAATGAGGTGTTGTTTTTTTTTAATTTTGGTTACTGTAATTTTCAGTTTAAATTTTTTATTTGGTTTTTCTTTATATTCTATTTCTGTATTTCTTTTTCTTTCCTGAAATTTTAATTTCTATTTGTTTTAAGCATGTTCATAACTAATTGGTGAAGCCTTTCTATGATAGCTGCTTTAAAATCTCTTATCAGCCGAAGCCGGTTTGGCTCAGTGGTAGAGCTTCGGTCTGTGGATTGAAAGGTCCCAGGTTCGATTCTGGTCAAGGGCACGTACATTGGTTGCAGGCACATCCCCAGTGGGGGGGGTGCAGGAGGCAGCTGGTCGATGTCTCTCTCTCGTCGAGGTTTCTAGCTCTCTATCTCCCTTCCTATCTGTAAAAAAATCAATAAAATATATTTTAAAAATAAATAAATAAAATCTCTTATCAGATAATTTTAACATATCTCATATTGTTGGCATCTGTTGATTCTTTTTTGTTTTAAATCTCGTTGGCTTTTAGCATGATGAGTGATTTTCAACTGAAACTTGGACATATTGAGTATTGTGAGATAATAGATCTTAAACCTTTTATTTTAGATGGATTCCTCTGATGTAGGCTAGGAGGGGGGTGAGGTACTTTCTCACTCCTGCCAGGTGGGTGGAAGTCCAAGATTCTTGCTTGGCCTCAACAGGGCTCCTCATTACTGCTGAGCAAAGCTGGAACTTGTAGGCCTCCAATGAACCACTACTGATGAAACATAGTAATTCCTCCTTTGAAAAACTGCTGTTTGAACTACTCTGTTATTCTTAGACAGTCTCTTATTCTGTAAGTCAACTCTGTTGTTTTTAGATAGTCCCTTATTCTGTAAAATAACTGTTTTAGTTTGAATAATAGAAAAAGATAAAAATTTAGCTGTCTGACCTTGCAAGCTAGCCATGTGACATATCAGACTAATATTGATACTGATAATAATTCCCATATTCTTATGCCAAGTATTGGTTCATTATGTATTCAAGGTTACAAACTGTCTGTAACAATAACCTACACAGAGCTCTTTATGAAATCTGCAGAAGAAAAAGAAGCTCAAAAGGTGTAAATATGGGAAACTTGTTCTATGTCGGGGCTCAGAAATTTGGGAAACACCTCCCTCTGGGCCCGAATAAAGACTCCTAATTAATTGGCTCATAAAGGCATCTCGTATATATCTTGCTGATTTACGATAAAACACTGATATCTCCCTGGCTAGAAAAGTTAGGTGTGCCTCATTACTATTTCCTATGTGTTCTCCACTGACACAGCAGTGGATGGAACATCATTCACAGCCAGTGGGAATCAAAGTCCCCACTGTCTACGCAGCCTTTTTCTGATACCATCCCTGGAGAGAAGTTGAAGCACCTCATTATAGCCTGGAAAGGACAGAAGTTCTGGCCTTTGCTGTGTGAATCAGGATGGGGCCACAGCATTTTCTGTAGTGTTTGGATATAGTAGAAAGTTATTTTCTAAAAGCTTTTGAAATTTTTTTCCTTCTTCTTTTTTTAAATTCTTATTTTATTTTTTGTCCTTTGAATAGAGAGCAGACTTTTTGTTGCAAGCTTTTTTGTCTGCACCCATTCATGATTCTAGGCTGTTGGCTTTGTCGACTCCTCTTCTGGGATACTGGTAAATGAGGCAAAAATAAACAAAAGAAAACACAGGGAACTCAACACCATGTTATTCTTTGAAGCCTGAGTTCCCTAGTCATTTTGCCATGTTCTCTCCATCTTCCACAGTCTTTTTACATTTATTTTGTAAATAATGTCCAGGTGTTTTAGTTACTTAGGAGGAATAGGAAAAAGTACATGTACTTCATATTCCCGGGTTTATTATCACATTATCAATAAACAACATTTAAAAAGAAGATATTGTGAGATATCCACTGTAAACAAAAGGGATCATGGATTTTTAAATGTGCAGAAATACTAATTTAGGTATTTTCATCTAACTTTTTATTAAGCAAGTTAATAAATCTGCCTGTCTAAAATTTTCTCACTTTAAAAACCCAAGTTCTAAAATCAAAATTCCTTCCATATCTAATTGTCTATTAGCACTGTCCAAAACAACAACAAGAACACTTTTTCCCATTTCAAATGACTTATTTTTGGTATATACTATTGAATCCTAGGACTTGCTGTCTTCTTACTTAGTTTTAAATTCAGAATATACTTTACAGACTAACAAATAAAGTCATGATCATAATTTACATTTCTCTAATTTGAGATAGAAAAAGAATAGTCTACATAATTATAAGTACTTAATTCCACAAAGCCCCTAATCATCATCTATTTTTATCTACTAACCTTTTCAAAAAGGTAACATATTTAAGGCTATTAAGTCAAAACAAAAAACAACAACACAGTAATACTTGACTTCTAAACTAATCACAATAATAATAAATGTTAGTAACACTGTGCTAAACTTTTTAATGAAGTTCTTTTTTTAAAAAACAGATCATGTTCAAATACACAAACCTGATATATAGTTCATTATTGCTGTAAATTACTTTATATGTTAATGAAGATCTAGAATTTAAAATGTCATTTTCATCTGACAATATATTTAAAAAAACAACAACTTTAGAACAGTTATACTAAACAAATGAAAGCATAAAGATTATAAGACACCCTGAAGTAATAGAAGATTCTTTAATTACTAGCTTAGTTATTATAAGATATCAGCCATTTTCACTCTGCTGAGCAAAACTGCTCTAAATTCTGGAGGATGGAGCAACACCAAAGAAAATAAATAATAAACTATATTTATATCGTAACTAATGGTGAAATAAGAGTTAACATAACTTGCAAAAATTGTTCATTATTCTCAACCATGGCATAGAAAATAGGCAAGTTTATAAACTATAAATTTAATTTTTCTGATGCCTAAATAATACAACAATGAACTTTTCAGCTCATTAAGGAAGTCTGAACTACAAGTAAATGAGGGATGCTTTCAAGTGTGTTTCCCTTTATTCAAAACTTGTCATTTTGTTCTGATAACAGACAGATCAATATTAAATTTACACTAATAGTTTTACCACTGGAACAACTTGAGGAAGACATGCATAAGATATGTATGGTATTCAAGTTTTTACTTTTGACAAGTTAGAAAATACCTTGTTAATTGTTTAGGTAAATAAAGAAATTGTCAATCAGCTATTTTTTTGAGGGGAATTTTTAAGAAATACCAACTCTTTTGGAAAAATTTTCTTGATTTTGAAACCATATAAATGGGCAACTGAGCCAAAAGTCACACAGTTTAAATTAAAGGTATATAAAAGGTCTAAAATGGGATTTCTATAGAGAAGTGAAAAAATGTTTCTTCTCCTTTAAAAAGGTTACAACATCACAAAAGAATGAATAGCTTAACTTAATTAGAGGTAGACTTGAGTAGTTAAAAAGATATGTATTGGGACTAAGATTTTTTACAATTGATTACCATATTAACAAATGTACTTGAACAGGAAAAAACTTTTATCAATTACTTAACTAAGGCCAGCTGAATCAATGAACTAAAATTTATGAGATTTAAACAATCTCACATATACCCTTCTTAATTATTAGATAACACAAACAGACCATCAGTCAAATAGGCAGAGCCTTGAGAAACTTTGCTATCTACCTTCATTGTATGCTGGGTGAAATATTTAAATATTATATCGGCAAATGTCAAAATTAAAGGCTGTAAATGCTCATGAGAAAAAAGTATGCTTGCCCTCGCTGATTTGGCTCAATGGATAGGGCATCGACCTGAAGACTGAAGGGTCTCAGGTTCGATTCCAGTCAAGGGCATCAAGATCCTCATAACCTCAGTAAGGGGCATGCAAGAGGCAGCTGATTAATGATTCTCCCTCACTGTTGATGTTTCTCTCTCTTGCTCTCTCTCTCCCTTCCTTTCTGAAATCAATAAAAAAAATTTTTTTTTAATTTATGAGTCTTATTAAAAAAGACTAGATATTTGAAATTTTTCAGTCATGAACTTACCTTATCAGCTTTCAGTTTTCTAAGGAAAGATGGATTATCATATCCTTTTGCTTGTCTTGCCTCTTGCAAATGGTTGATCATCCAGACATTTTTTCTCTGCTTTGCCAAATCAAGTGCTGATTCACCCTGATAATATAAGTGGAAGAAATTCATATTAATAATAAAAACAAAATATTTTAGTTACTAACTTTTAAAGCACATCCATAAAAATAAATTGAATGCATATTAGCTCATTATTATTTTTATATTGGGCAGTCAACTACTAAAAGAATCTAAAAATCATTAAATATTACTTATGCTTTCCCATTCAAGGTACAATCAAAATATGTATTTACTCATATAGATTCTATTTGTGCTTACATTTTGGCTTATTTTAGAAAGCAAATCAAAAAGTAGGTATTTTAGTACCTGCTGGATCAGAGTCTAAAACAGTTTATCAGTTATTTCATATTCATTAAAGGTTTCATTAGTAATAGTAATTGCTACATAATATCCTGTTATATTACCAAATTTTCAGAACTCTTTCAGTTTAATTTTAATGATGACAAGTTTGAAGATGAATACAGGAATAAAAAAATCAATTTCTACTTCTTCTACTGTTGTATTGCCATTCTTGATCACCTTAAATTCATTCATCCATAGAAATTTCCAAAGAGAATAAAAGCAGTAACCAAAAAAGAGTGAACCTCAAGTTATGAACTTGTAGTTCCCTTTTATCTCAAGAAAAAGAATGCCAAGGAATACAAGTGAACAGAACTAAAACGGTTTCAAGAAAGTAAGAAATAGCATCCCTAATTCTAGATCTATGCTTCTTTATGCCTGTATTAAGATCTTCTCCTTTAAATTAATCAGACACCTACATATCTATTCTATTTAATAGTCTCCACTATTTATCTAATACTTCAAGTATAAATGTGAAATTAAACATTTTCCAAATTTGCCAAAATTTCAAGAATGTATCAATGAATATTTAAAATAACTTTAAAAAGAAGAAAAAAATATTAACATTTTAATTTTAAAAACTATATGAAAATAAATGAATAAGGAGCCTTGGGTGCCTTACTTAGAGGAATGATTATCAAGTATAAAGTACAGTTTTTAAAAAAAAAAACTTAAAAAATTTTAAAAAGCAAACAAAAAAATAAACACACCACTACCACCAATAGCAACAACTATAACACCAAAATAACAACAGAGAGCCCAACCAATCCTTTAATAAAAAGAGCAATTGTATTTAATTAGGAACAGGCTAATCTAGGTGAGTCTTCCACAAATACGATTATTTATTTTTAAATATCTCCTTACCTATTCAAAGATTCTATCACCTAAATTGTTAGAACCAGCTAATTAATCCAAACTATAAAGATTACCTGAATAAAAGCAATCCCTTGGATAACAACTCCCAGAGAATATTCTGCAGTTGCCTCGGTCCAGCTGAGCATCCCTTCCACTAGAGGGCCATGTGACACCTAGGGATTGCCTAGATAAAAAGATGGAGGGAGCTTTAAGAAGTCTTTCAACTACTCCTCTAGTCAACTGACTGCTTTTGTATAGTTCTTTTATTCAGCTGGTAAAATAAACAAGCAATTAATTTAAAGAACTGTATTAAAACCAGGGTTCCAAATCAAGTCTTTATCTGATCACTCCATGTGTTAGCTAAAATAGTAAACAATAACATCTCTTAAATGGAGTATTTATGGATGATGTGACATGTAATAAAAGAAATTCTTCAAGGATTTTGGTCAGATAAATAAACACTATGGAAGGTAGACAGTTGGGTGATCATATTTTGCCTAAGTTAGACTGAATTTCATTATTAAAACGAAGGAAACTTCTTCCTTGGAGACCATCTAGGTCAGGTACTTAAAAGATAAAACTACTTTCTAAAAACAGTTCCTTACCTCATTTCAAGAAACTATATATGTCTTCCAATATGTTAATTAACAAAGCTCAGTAATTTTACATTCTTAGCAAGCTAAAATTTATGTCCTCAGATCATGTTAGAAAAAAAAATTACAAATGCTTGGGCATTACTCCGAGATTGTTTTCTCAATACCCAATTCATCTATATTTATCTGCATAACCAAAAAGATGTGCAGGGGGGTAAAATATTTTTTTTAACTCACAAATGAGATGTTACCATAAAAAAGGATAACTACATAGGTCATTTAAAAAAAATCTTAGTATTCCCAAATAACTCCCCCCATTGTTACTACTTGAAATTCAAATTTATCCTATGTAACTATTATCTAAGTTCTTAAATTTTTTTAAATCATCAGATGAAAGCCTTCTAGAAAAGCTGAAATTTAATTTTTTAATAATAATTTCAGAGGTCCATGGATCCACCCTCTAATAAAAGAAGCTCTAGTCTGGGGTATATGGCCTTTTCTATCCTTCTACAGATCAAAATAGCCATTTTAAAGTTGCCTACCATTTAATATTAATTGTCTCCAAAATAAGTTCTATATTCTTTTGATAAAATAATCATTTGTTTATACATTAAAAGAACTGAATTCCTTAGTCAAATAACTAACTTACAAGGGTAAATAAATCTAATATAAAATGAGATTTCTAAGAAACTTAAGCTTTGCCTTATTTAGAAAATAGCTATTTTAGAAAATCAGCTGATAGTTATATAACAATTATAACAAAAAATATAATTTATCATATTCTTTAAAGAATGTAACTTTTACTGGCTATTAAAGCCATGTCCAGATTCGTATGCTACATCTTTTTGTCATAATTCATGATTAATAACAAACTCTTAAGACTTGAAATAAAAAATATACAGGTATAAATCAACTTTACTTGTCAAATTACTGGACAAAAAATCTTGGCTTGTTTTTTAATTAATAAACTTTTCCCTTTCAAACTTTTTTTTCTTCTTTTTTTGTGTCAAACTTTGCAGCAATTTAAGTTTATTTAATTAGCTTGGCATTCCACATAGGTAAAAGACACCACTCAAATTAAATATGAGTAAAGCAGAACCAATTGCTATCACCTTCACCCCAGAAGTTTTCCTTCAATCTTCACAACCTTAATATATATCACAAGGCATTCAGTTATTCAAACAAAAAAGTACCATCAATGATATTTTCTTTCACCTTCACATCTAACCTACCTCTTCATTTTTACTCTATAATTTCTAAATCAACTCACTTATCACTATTTCTATTCCTACAATAATAAGCTAAACTAGCCGAAACCGGTTTGGCTCAATGGATAGAGCGTCAGCTTGGGTACTGAAAGGTCCCGGGTTCGATTCCCGTCAAGGGCATGTACCTTGGTTGCGGGCACATCCCCAGTAGGGGGTGTGCAAGAGGCAGCTGATCGATGACTCTCTCTCATCGATGTTTCTAACTATCTCTCTCCCTTCCTCTCTGTACAAAATCAATAAAATATATTAAAAAAGAAAAAAAAAGAAAAAGTATCAAATGGTATAATATATATATATATATATATATTTTTTTTTTTTTTTTTTTTTAAATAAGCTAAACTAAATCATCTTTTGCCTGACTTACTGCAATAGCCTAACTCAGTGGTCAGGAAACTCGTTAGTCAAAAGAGCCAAATATTAACAGAACGATTGAAATTTCTTTTGAGAGCCAATTTTTTAAAACTTAAACTTCTTCTAATGCCACTTCTTCAAAACTGACTCACCCAGTCCGTGGTATTTTGTGGAAGAGCCACACTCAAGGGGCCAAAGAGCCGCATGTGGCTTGAGAGCCGCAGTTTGCCGACCACGGGCCTAACTGATCTTCACCCATCCCTTTCATTTTCTTAATTCTGATGCTATTCTTCCTACAGCAACTAAAGTAATCTTTTAAAAATATTTACAGCACAAAGATTATATAACCAGCCTACATAAATCCTTCCTTTTGTTTCCCATGACTGAGAATACAATTTAAGCCCCTTATCATGGCCCTGTATAATCTGGCACCTGCTTCTCTCAGTGGCTTCACTTCCTTGTTCTCTGCTATCGGTCAAGGCTATCAGTTTTGCACTTCTAAAATGGCAAGCTAATTTTTGGCTTATTCATTATCCCTATGCCTTGCCCTTGCAGGTTCCTCTACATCAAGCATGTCAAACTCAAAGGCCAAATAAACAAGATTTAAGTTTATGTGGACCGCAAAAAACAAACAAACAAACAAACAAAAATCAAAAGCTTCAATTCTCATAGGTTTATTCTGAAAATTATAACATTAAAAAAGAAAAAGAGCAATGATAAAATTAGTGTTTTTTTTCTGACACTTAACATCTCTTCTCTGCTATCTTTCCTACTTCGGGGAAAATCTTGTTCGCAGTGATTACTTTCAAAACTGACCCAAGGTGAAAGTCAGTAATTCTGGATCTGATTGGAGACTTATTTCCTTTCATAATTGTAAATAACTGCTCACACCTTTATATTGGCTGGGCCGCAAAAATTCATTGTGAGCCTTATGCAGCCTGTGGACCACGAGTTTGACATGCTTGCTCTACATGGTAAATTTTCCCTCAATTATCTTTGCATAATTGAGTCCTTTTCATCCGACAAGTTCACAGCAAATGTCATCTCGTCAGAGGCATTCACAAATCACTCACATGATGTGGTTCCCTCAACCATCATCACTCTACTCCATTTGCTTATGTGTACATATGTGTTTAATGTACTATTATCTGTTCCCTCAATACAATGCAAATTCTGAGAGAATAGAGACTTCATCTCTCTTAAATACTTCGATTTCACAGCATTGAACATTGTTGAATGAATAAATGACTTCCATTAGAAGGTGGTGACTAGACTTCAGCATATTAGGAATGTCA